ATAGATCTAAAAGACCTAAAAGTAAATTTGATGAGTTTTTCGACATAATTCATGCATCCCAAATTGTTTTGTGTAAATTACGCCAACATAAAAAGGTTGAAATAAAAATGAAAAACAGAAACACTTGAGGCTTAAGGAAGCATCTAATATCTTTCCACAAAAAGGAATCACAAATATTTCTTCCTGAAAAACCAAAATTAAGTGGAGATATCACAAGCTTTTTAATAACCACCGGAAAAAGTGGACAGGTAAGAAAAAATATACTTATCACACAATTACATAATACATATATTATGTAACTAGCGGCCGCCTGCGACCTCGTCCGCGTACAATATCTGATTTCCTATGAGATTTTGAAATTCTCGCGCTGCAAAAGTCTTACCTAAGTATAAAGAGGTTATATAGGTAAAGCTTAAGTATGCAAGTATTTATTATTTAAAACTAATAAAGTAAATGTCGATCTTCATATCTATACTTTAAAAATATAGGACTTGCATGTAACCATTTTACCGCAATTTCACCCCCTTAGGGTTAGGATTTCGTAAAACAGCTTATTCAGGATTTTATTATTGAAAACTTATAACTTTAATGCCGATTTTCGTGTCTCTAACTTCAAAAACGTAGGACTTTCATACAAACTTCCAACTCCCATTTCACTCCCTTAAGGATAGATTTTCTCAAAACCGTTTCTTAACTGATCTCTATGCCAGAAAAGGAACCTACCTTACAAACTTCAAGTTTGTATGTTTTATAGTTCCTGAGATATCGTTATAGTCAGTCAGTGAGTGGTAGTTATATATATTATAGTGTTAAATATGTATTTATAATTCACTCATATTTTCATTTGTTTTTATAATCGGCGAGACACATGATTTACTGTTTTATTTCAGTCTGAAAATAGCAGTGACAACATCACGACAGCTACAGTTGATTGGATGGTTAAAAAATATCTTCCCTTCTAATTTTTCGATGACGAACAAGTATATTTTTGATCAATTTTCCCAAATATGGTGTTTTCTAAAAGGTCCACACTTAGAAGGAAGGTCAAAAAACAGTTTGAAGAGCTTCAATTGAATCTTAAGAAACGACTACAACAATTTTCATCTAAAATGTCATTTAGAAGCCTGAACTTTATAAAGAATATAAAAGTCTACACTCAGTGAGTACATCACCAAGAAATGAAAAGAAAGTATGTGAATATGATGAAGATGAAGACGTAATAGACTTTGAGAAATTGTATGCATGTCCCTCGACGTCATCTGGATCTGGATTTTTTCATCAAGGCTTAGTTATAGACGAGTTGGAGGAGTACCTAAGTAAACCCAGGGCCGCCAGTTCGGAAGACATTTTAAGGTGGGGGAGGACGCATGAGACAGAATATCCGACTTTATCGAAGATGGCCCGTGATTTTCTTTCAATACCTGCAACTTCAGTACCTGCTGAGAGATTATTTTCTAAAGCATCATTAGTAATTAGAAAACATAGAAATAGGTTAAGTGACGAGTCAGCCAGATGGTTACTTTGTATTAATTCTTGGTCAAAAGAATTAATATAAAGTAACAGTAATGTCAAAGCTGTTGTGTACTGTTATGTAACTTAATTTGTATTGTATTGTTACGAGCTTGAGGTTCGTGACAATAAAAATTGCCGATAAAATTACCTAAATTAACACTTTAATTTACTTTACACAAATTAAAACTTAAAACACTAATAATTAAACACACTAATTCACTTTATTCCGGTCCGAAGCTTCGCTTGTGTCGCCAATTCCAATACTGCCTCGATCGCATCTTGCAGCGCCTATTTATATAAATTAGCAAAGAAGCATCCGGAATATTCAAGTAAATGCGCGCAAAGGGACGAGTGTGCGAGTGTAGATTTTCTAGAAACTTAGTTCTTCGGATGGCGCTGTCGGTTGAGAGATTTGTGATGTCATTTTCTGCAAAGCTCCCCTCGCTCTCGTTCCTGACACTAGATGGCGCTAGTTGACTTATTCACGCAACAGTATTTTTTTTATTTAAATAAATGGTAAATTGTATAACTCTTTTATTCCATTTCATATAAGGGTCTATCAATCTCTTTCTACACAGATAATGTTTTTTATAATACAGTCAAGTTAATGTCATTAATTTGTTTTTTATATGTTTTAACTAAGTTTTAGCACATGTAAGCTTATTAAATGTAAACGTTCATTAAGAAACAGACTAACTCCCGTGGCCGTGAGACTTGGTAGACAGCTCAGTTGGTTAGAGCATCGGCACGTATCGCTTAGGTCGTGGGTTCAAACCCCACCCGGTAATAGTTGATTTTTCGAATTTCTCATTAAATGTTTAGACATTTATTAATTTGGTTGGTCTTTCTATGGCTATGTTAATTCAAGATCAAAATGTGCCTACTCTGTTAAGTTGTTCTAAGATCTAAAGTAACGTTTAAATAACAATAGGCTAATAGGTAATTGCGAGACTTGCGAGACTCTTGCTACAAGACCAAGACCAAGAACAAGACTGAGAGCGCAATACCAAGACCAAGAACAAGACCAGGTGTATTGGCGCAAGACCAAGACCAAGACTGGCTAAGTCTCGTCTTGTTCTTGCATTTAGGCAACACTAATTTCGATTAATCACCCATACAATCTTCTCTTTCATCTTTGCCAATGCAGTGGCAGTTTATTGATGCCCTTCTTGAAGAAATCAGCTGGATGGAAGACAACAAATCCTTCAAAGTGTAGTAGTCTTGCAAAGTTCGTGTCTTTATACTACAGAAGAGATGTATAAGATCTATATGCGGTGTTGGTCAAATGTAATCATGTAGACCTCTCCTTGAAAAGCTAAATATTCTTACATTACCTTCCCTATATATATGAAATTTTAACAGTGACCAAAAAAAATGCTAACCTCTTCACAAAATAACATAATGATCGTTGTGGTACAAGAAGGTACTCGTTGAAGTTATCTGTGCCCCAGACAGCCACAACTTGTATTGCTAGAAATAGTATTGGCATGTGCGTTCGACTATTTAATTTACTTCCAAACCACATTCAAAACTTAACATTTAAACTTAAAAAAATGATTTTCGGGATTCTGACTGAAAATTGTTTTTATGACATAAATGAATTTATCAAATTCTGCCGTGACGATAGTTTGGCCGTTGGTCGTTGGTTGGTTGGCGTTATACTAGTTTAACATTATGCATTTTGATATGACCATGCCTGTATATTTTTTCTTTCTTTTACTGTTTTATTCAAATTAAGATGAAATAATATCGTAATTTTGTATTGTTCTAATTTTAATTATTAAATTGCACGTTGACGTAATATTTGTATACCGATAAACCGGTAAAACATGCATGTACACAATATGTTATAAGACCTAAAATTGTACCATGTTTTATACAAAAATAAATATTTATTATTCTTATTATTATAAAGGCATTTTATACGACCTCTCAGGTATTCAATTTTTCCCAGCAAAAACTATTCATATTCTGGAAAAAATACAAGTCTGCAAGCGCAAGGTCTAGTGAGTACGGCGAATGACGGAGAGCTTCCAACCCCAGCTTTTGTAACTTGGAGACCGTCGGTTGTGGTGAGAGGTCGCGCGTTGTTGTGCAGGAGCAGCGGGGACGAGCGATTGACCAAAGCTGGTTAGAGATGTGTGAGCTTCTCCATCATTGAGTTCAGTTATTCACAATACACATCTGTAGTAATGCTCATCCCGTTTGGTAAGAAGCTCTGACGAATCACACTGGCGCTAGACCAAAAAACCATGAACCTCACTTTTCTAGGGGTAAGTTTTCGTTTAGGGCATTGTTTAGGTGTTGAACCAGGCACCTTGTTAACGTTTGCGATTGTCAAACAGAATCCAGTTTTCATCGCAGGTAAAAATGCGGTTCTAAATTCCTTCGTTTGTATGCCTGTTGAGCAGTCTAAGGAACGTCTCGATTCGTTTGTGGGGCACTAATTTGTCAAGCTTTTTAACCTTACTGATTTGACGCAAATGAACCGATATTGTTTGGATGCTAACGTCGAAATCTACTGCAAATTCAGCCACATATTGAGTATCATCAGCTTCCACAGTCGTCTTTAATTCGTCATTGTCGACCCAAGTTTTCAGATGACCCTGTGTGAACCCTGTGTCATTTTTCAGGTCGAAATTTCCAGAACGGAAGCGGGCGTACTAATTACAGGTGGTGCATTCGTTTGTAATATATACTCCGTAGAGCCGTGGTAGCTCAGTGGTTAACGCTCGCTGTAAATATAACAGAACGCGAGTAACCCAGGTTCGATCCCCGCCGGCACCAATGAAATTGTTAATTGCAATTTTAAGTGCTGATTTACCACGTGCTCGGTGGTGAAGGAAAACATCGTGAGGAAACCTACATGTCTGAGGAATAAGAAAAAAAATATTTCGAAGACAGGTGAAGTTCGTCAACACGCATTTGGGCAGCGCCGCGGACACTTCCTTGCCCTAAACCCTCTCAGAAATGAGGGGGAGGCCTGAGCCCAGCAGTGGGACGTATATAGGCTGTAACTTTACTTTTACTTTACTATACACTCCGTAAACGTCGTTGACGTTGTGTGTCGCTTGTGCCACGCTGCTGCCACGACGGTACTCATATTCCATAATTACTCGAATTTTTGACGTATCCCTGACGACGGAAAAGATTCAAATGCGATGGAAACATAACGCTTATCAATAAACAAATGACTTTGAAGAATAATTTAAAAAAATAACTTGAAATTTGATTTGAAATGGCCAGTACTGCAGAACGGCAATTTTATAGGTAAAGATCTGATATACGGTGTCGAAAACATATATGCCCGAAACGTTGTATAAAATATCTCATTCGATTTGCAACCGCAATTTAATATCGAAATTAAATGGAAAAGTGAAAAGTAATCATGCGGGCGTAAATACATTTTACACCTGTTTGATATAAATTTCATTTATGGATTTCAAATATTTCGGGACTCGTTGCAAACAATTACTTTGGGTAAATACCTAATGGCATCTTGAGTGATGCCATCAGGTACCAATACCCAAGTTGCCATGTTAATTCAAATGTTAAACGAGAGGACAAGGTACGCAATTTTAGAAAAGAAAGTAAACTCGCCTTTACAATTTCTTTTTATTTGAACCAATTCTTAGTCGAGTACACTAAGGATTGGTTTTGTCTAGAACTGATCCTTAAGAATGAAAAAATCGTTATCATCATCACAGCCTATCAATAGCCCACTGCTGGACATAAGCTTCATCCACAGATTGCCTCAAAAGATGATACGACAAAATCTATTTTGCCAAACAATTAATTCCTAAAATACTTCGTTTAAAATATTTGAATATCTTAATTTTATATATATTAAATAATTACGTGTCACGTTGTTTGCCCGCGATGGGATCCTAAACTACTTAAACGATTTTGATCAAATTTGCACACCGTGTGTAGTTTTGTCCAACTTGAGAGATAGGATAGTTTTTTTACCCATGAGTGACCCACATTTTATTTTTTGAAAATTTAAGGATTTTTAATATGACAAGACAAAGTGTCGCCGAAAAGGGCAGAACAACGTCTGCCTGGCAAGCTAGTGTTATATAGAAAAGTAAATAGCGTAAAATTCTTCTGCGTTCAAAAATTTATGCATTAATGAAATCACATTACTCTTAAGTTTATACGAGTACATGGAATAAAACGAATTTTACTGATTTACTGCGATTAATTTGACTTATTTTTTAATTCCTGACGTTTTTTACAGTGTCCTTGGTCACGAGGTACTGACCTGTGACTTCCTGACGTCATAGTGAACCCGGGTCACCTTTAGCTTTTGGATATTAATTATTGGTTCAAATCTAGCAAAACATTTTCACTTACTCAGATTGCTAACTGAATCTAAAAACTTTGCACCAACGTGCTCATACTCACTGCGTTAGACAGATGGATTGATAAACACAGCGTGGATAATAGTATAAAAAGACTGAGGAGTAGATTGGGGTCAGTTATCGGGGCGGGTGTGTCGTTATGAAAAGTATATTTATTTATACGTGGTAGAGCCATGCTGCAGTTATATTAGTAGCATAGTTGTAGCATGAATGGGTCAGCTCGACCGGGGAAGGACCACGCTCTCACAGAATGCCAGCGTAAAATAGTAGCTTAATGCTGTTTCGTATGGTAAGTGTAGAGAACCGGAGACCCATTTTAATGGAATCGAGGTGTTCCATGTTAGTCCTTACGGGTGACAACGCATCTGTATTTTGATTTGCAATCGAGGATAGATGTAGATGTCTATGGACCGCAGCAATCACTTACCATTAGATGGATTGTGTGCTCGTTTGTCACCGTATCCTATAAAAAAATATACTGCTGAACGACTGTCAGCTCATTCGTCTCGATTGTTAGTTAGGAAGGAGGTTGATTTCGAGAAGAATTTAGTACTTACCACCCAGTGGCGCTTCAACGCAATTTTTCTAAATTATTTTAAAAATGTTCTGATATCCATTAACATGTAAGCTGTAAGCAGCTTGAGTAAAATGGATGTTTAATGAAGTGCAAAAAAGTGATAATGTTAATGTCATTCACCTAAACAAAGAGATCATGATTATGTAGGAAATACTCAAAACTAAGTATAATAGAAAATGATGGTTCATAGTCAATTATAACAATTATGATTTAGAATTATTATTATTATTATTTTACATTTAAAACCCAACTTTTGATTGAAATTTATAATTCTATCGATTAATATGTTAATTTATGTAGATGTGTTTTATGTTATATTATCTAAGATAACAGGAATGTACTTTAATTACAGAATAAGTTAACATACAGTATACCTTGTTCCATTATATATTCTTAAGAAAACATAATCCATATGTTGACTAGTGTAGTTTACGCACTGAAATATCTAACATAAGTACAACTCTATATAACTTAAAGTTTAATCGAAATGACGCTACTTACGTCATCCTCCCTCTCATTCGTTAGCATAACTGAGCAGTTGGGAATAATATGTTTAATCAAGCGTTGCTGAGCATAAATGTAACACGATGTGACATATGTTACCCACATACTTAGAGTAAGAAAAAGTTGACATCAAGTTTGCTAAACTAAATTGTCAAGGTTAGGCAGGATGTGCATGCGTGCGTAATTCGCGTGTACTACACAAATCGGCGAAGTTTAAAGTGCTTTAATTCTTATTTCGTGAGGTTTTGTATTGAGCCTATGTATGTAAAATTATTTTATTGGTTTTGAAGTCGGTTTTTACTTTTTAGGTTTTTTGATATCAAAAACAACCTATAAAGGGTTGTTTTTAAGCACCTCTTTAGCAACTTGTGGCTTTAAAAAGTATTTTGGATCAAAATATAAATGGCAATATGATAAACTATTAAACAGCTCGCAAAAATATATTTGGTTACTTTTAAGTACGTCTTTGTATCTCCTAAAATGTCTTTTTTTCTAATTGATCAAATCTCTCATTAAGTACAATGGGGAAAGGCTACCCCCTTTAGGCGAAAAGGCGAAAAAAATGGTTTGTATACGAGCACTAAACACGAAAAGCTCAGCTCGAACAGCTCATCAGCCTCATCATCAATATTAGAATCACCACATTTGTAAAAGATCCAGAGAATGTTGTTGAAATTAATAAAGACGAAGGATTAGAGGGACGTATACCATGGATATCAATTTTTTTCTGAGATCTCAAAAAGAAAAGCATGAACACACTGAATAACAAAATATTTTTCTGAACGGGTTTGTTTTTGAGTGCAGAACGTGCAAGAAAAGGAAACTATACACTGTGAAGCCTCACACATTATAATGTGCATAAATACTACTATCATCGAAGGAATTAGTATGCACAGGAAACGGATATCCTCAAATAAATGAAATTTGTGATGTTATGAATATGTTAAATAAGAATTCTTCGATTTTCACAAATATAGAGCAAGTTTTAGCACCAATAGTTGAAGAATGCGCCTTAGAAGAAATGATCCCAGCTGGCCAAGAAGAAAAAGACAATAGTTCGTGTCAAATCGATTGAGAAAAACGGACGATGACGAGATATGAGCCGAGTGTTAAAAGGCGTAACTTACAAAATCTCAATTTAGATATGATAACAATATTGATATTATTCACAATTCTAGGTGTTTTTTTTTGTTTCTCATATAATATTGTCTGTGGTTCCTATAAACATCGTAAAATCTTACGCTACATCGCGAAAAATGTGTTATATTTTATATTTAAATTTGTGGTAAGTAACGCAGCAATTCATTTAATAACTGTTTCATATTAAAAAAATATATTTAAAGCAATATAATCTCCATATTGAGCTTTAGCAAATTCATCCCTTTAAAATAAACAAAACGCGCGTTACTTCAGTTCGTTCTAAAACAAACGTGACAATAGCAGCCAGAGATGCGTCACTTTTTTTGGGCCGGCCCGCAAGCACCGAATAAATATAAAGTTCTTATATAATAGTACCTGGATGACCGAGCTTTCCTCGGTATTCTTTTTGGAATTCGTGTGAAATCGGTAATGGATTTGGAAATTATATTTAGATACAAATTACATACTGATGAAATATGAATAATATTTTTTGATCTTATTGACATAATAGAAAAAACTGAACTGGTTATTTGAATAAAAAATCATGAGTGCAATTAGTTTAATTTAAGTTTTCGTGTTTTTAAAAAAATACTTAAAAAAGGGTTCGAAATAATAGATTTTCTCACAAAAGAGGGGAACTTGAAAAATAAAAGGAAAACAAGTCGGACCGAAGACAGGACGCGAACCAGGGCACTACGATTTCGCGACGGCCCGATATGCACTTGAGCTATTACAATAATACAGTGTCAAAATTTACCTTCTTATATTGTAGAAGTTTTTCATTGTCTGAAAACACGGACAAAACGACATTTTCTAAAAATGAATCCTAGCTAGATCGATTTATTTCCCCCGAAACCCTCTGGACACTAAATTTTATGAAAATCGTTGGAGCCGTTTCCGAGATCCCGATTATATATATACACACAAGAATTGCCCGTAAAAAGGTATAGGATTGACAATAAAGTCTTATCTTTTGAATAAGTACATATTCGGTGTCGTTATCACTCGAATCTTTATATGTGTTAAAAATTAATGCTCTTTATTTTTAAATGAATAAAGTACTTTATAACAATAGATGATTTTTCTTCTACAGCGATCTTTTACATAACTTTTTAATAATAATTAATAAATATAATATTTGCCGTGTAGTGGCGGTTGAGAATATCCACTACCCCATATCTTCCCGTGGGTGTCGTAAGAGGCGACAGAGGGACACAGAAAGGAGAAAACTGCGGTTGCCAACCCGCTCGCCAAGCGTGGCAACTATGGCAAATATCCCCCCATGAGCTTTTAGGTTCGGTTGCCACCTACGACGACTCGACCTGGCAACGTATAACGCACGCACCCTGAGAACTGACGAGAAGATACTGGAGCTGGAAGAAGAGGTAGACAAGTTGCGCTGGCATATTATTGGATTATCTGAGGTCCGAAGAGAGGGGGGAGGACACGGTTATCCTCGAGTCCGGCAACTTGTTCTATCACCGGGAGGGCGACCATCTGTCCCAAGGAGGTGTCGGATTTATCGTCCACAAGTCTCTCGTCAACAACGTTGTAAAGATTGGGAGTGTGTCGACGAGGGTCGCGTACCTGATACTCAGAATCACTAAACGGTATTGATGTCATGCGTAGACCTACGCACCAACCTGGGCACATCCCGATGAGGAGGTGGAAGAAATGTATGAGGATATTTCTAGAGCCATGCATTCCTCCAAAACCCACTACACGGTGCTGATGGGAGACTTCAACGCAAAACTAGGCACAAGAGAAGGCGGTGAGCTGAAGTTAGGAAATTTTGAGTAGGGCAACGGAACCGTAGGGGCCAGCAGCTGGCTGACTTTATGGAGAAAGAGGGACTTTTTATGATGAACTCTTTCTTCCAGAAGCGGCCCCACAGGAAGTGGACCTGGTCGAGCCCCGACGGTCCGACAAAAAATTAGATTGACTTCATTATGA